GATTAGTCACGGTGTGTGATGTGTCCTCAGGGGAACAGCTGTCTGGAGGATGCCAGCATGAGGACAAATGCAAATCTGCCGCTCCCGGGCTGTGATGGACAGGTGACAGGTGAGTCTCTGACTCCGCCCACCAGCAGCCACTTCGTTAAACGTCAGAAATCAGGTGCTCGGTGAAAGATATTGGTGTTTTGTTCAAGTTAGTAACCATGATATTTTTATTATGAATTATTAATGAGCCCCAATGAGTCCCAGCTTGCATACTGCATTGTAAACACAAAGTAAGCCATGATGTGTTATGATGGCCATTGCTTGAATAAACTTTAGTGTAATTTGTGTCATTTATAGCTGATAAATACAACTTATAAGTCACTATAATTTGATTGTAATATCATGTCAGTCAACAATAATCTACATCTCTTTCACTTTATTTGAAGCTTGCAAAGTATGTGTTTATGAAGTTATAATGCACTACGCAAGCCTGGGCTGAATTTTATAATGCATTATGTTAACAGTTCATAATGCATCCTAAGAAGTGTAATCCATTTTCATAAATATTTTAAACAGGTTTATAGTGCTCTATGAATGTCATAGTTCTGATGTGTTTTGATTGGAAATGTCAGAGTTCTTATGTGTTTTAGCTAGAAATGTCCTGTTTCTGACGGGCTTTAGCTAAAAACATCCTGTTTCTGATGTGTTTTAGGTAGAAATGTCTTTGTTCTGATGTATTTTAGCTAGAAATGTCTAGATTCTTAAGTGTTTTAGCTGGAAATGTCCAGGTTCTGAAGTGTTTTAGCTAGAAATGTCTTTGTTTTGATGTATTTTAGCTAGAAATGTCTAAGTTCTTAAGCGTTTTAGCTAGAAATGTCTTTGTTCTGGTGTGTTCTAGCAGTAAATGTCCTGGTTCTGATGTGTTTTAGCTAAAAATATCTGGTTCTTATGTGTTTCAGCTAGAAATGTTCTGGTTCTGTGGCGTTTTAGCTAGAAATGGCTTGGTTCTTATGTGTTTTAGCTAGAAATGTCTTTGTTCTGGTGTGTTCTAGCAGTAAATGTCCTGGTTCTGATGTGTTTTAGCTAAAGACGTCTTGTTTCTGAAGTGTTATAGCTAGAAATGTCCTGTTTCTGATGTATTTTAGCTAAAAATATCTGGTTCTTATGTGTTTCAGCTAGAAATGTTCTGGTTCTGTGGCGTTTTAGCTAGAAATGGCTTGGTTCTTATGTGTTTTAGCTAGAAATGTCAGAATTATGATGTATTCTAGCTAGAAATGTTTTGATTATTTTATTGCATTATTGCACCATTCTGAGAACCTCTCAAGACTGTTTTGTGTGAAAATCCCAGGAGATGGTCAGTTTTAGAAATACTCAAACCAGCCTGTCTAGTACCAACATGGTCAAAATCACTGAGATGATGTTTTTTCCCCCATTCTGATGGTTGATGTGAACATTACCTGAAGCTGCTGCGCATAACTGCCTGATTTTATGCACTACTGCCACATGATTGGCTGATTAGATAAGTAAATGAATGAGTAGGTGTACAGGTGTTCCCAATAAAGTGCTCAGTGAGTGCAGATTCTAATAGACATGACATTCACGGAAAATATTCTACGCTTCTCTGACACTTTAATAATAATAATGCTAATAACAATCTCATAACTCCACTTTTTAGCCCATTTATCACTGGTCAGTTTCTGTCCACAGGACTGCTGTTGTCCTATACTATTTAGACTTTTTAAGGCTGGAGAAACTACATATACTGCATATACATATACATATACTGTGTGTTTGTTTGTGTTTTCAGATGAGCTTTTGACTGATGAACAGAGGCACCAGGGTCTTCTGAGAGAGCTACAGGAGCTGGCCGAACACGGTCAGTCATGCACAAACAATTTCGAATAGAATATAACAGTCTGATGATGCTTACTGTTGAAAATTATCGTAGACGCAACATCATACAGCTCAACACGCTTGGAGGAGAATGCTAACTGCTAATTCTGTTATGTCAGCTAACAGACATCTGTGTATGCTACCATTGCACTGTCATGGGGAGGGAGGACCACCCTACACACCCAGAAAGAGAGACAGTTGTGATCTTTTAGGCTGAAACTTTAATGCAACTTGTTGCATGTTGTGCATTGCCTGCAACATAATTTCCTTGCAACTTGACAGTTACATGAAACACAACTCATAAACAATGGTTGCATGCAACACATTCAGTTACTCCACTGAAGCTGCAGCTTGTATTTTAGATAAGCTGTATCATTCTCACTATAAAGTCCTCCATGAGGTGTAATTTACATGTTTGCAGAATTTCTATCATCTTTGTTTTTTATCCAGCAATTATTAATAAATTATTATAGTTCGTACCATTTTCTTTCTATTCTTAACAGCTGCAATCTAACCCAAATTAATCTGAGCTCAGAAAATGAAAAACTACCAACCTTGAGATAAAAGTTGCATGAAAGTTCCTCTACAGAGAACATACTGAAATATAAAACTTTTCTGCAGGGCCAAAATTTGATTTTAATTTATTTTCCCTAATGTGTTAAATTCGGTAAATAAACCGTAGTTGTGAATTAAAGTGTACAGACGTGTTCTCCATGGTCCACATGTGTCAGGCTCTGGTCCTCGTGGGCCGAAACACTGTAGACTTCAGCACGCTGCCTCATTAAACACACCTGATTCAGCTCATTAGCTAATTAGCAAGGCCTTCATGAACTGAATTCAGAGCGTCAGATGAGGGTAAACGCTGATCTCCACAGCACTTTAGCCCGGGAGGTCCCCAGTTCGACATGCCTGCCGTAGAGCATGTGTAATTAGACCAGGGGCACCTAAAATTTACTACTAACGCCAGAACAAAATATTCACCAACAATGCATCTGTGAGCAGCAGGAGCATCAAACAAAGTGCAGAAGAGACACCATGTCATGCCTGTTGCCATACAATCAATCGCTTTGCCTGCACTGTAGTGTCCTATCTGCAAATAACCAACTCTAGAACGGTGTGTTACTCCCTCAGAGAGAGAAAGAGAGAGGGAGTACGCTCGGGAGAAGGAGGGATACGAGCGCAACGAGACGGACGACGAGAGCGACTGGGAGGACGGAGAGGAGGAGAGGATGATGAAGGAGGTAGAAGGCTGGGGGCCGGAGGAGGAGAGACGGAGGGATGGAGGTAGGATGGAGGTGGAGAAACAGGGCGATGAAGAGGAGGACGAGGAGAGCGCCCGGGAGTTGGAGGAGCTGCTGGCCGAGGAGATCCGGAAGAAAGAAGCGGAGAAAGATGAGAAACGAAAAGACGATGAAGAGCTGGAGGAGCTGCTGAAGGAGCTGAAGAAGAAACGGTACGAGGCGACGAAAGAGAAGGAGCAGCAGAGGAAGGTGGCAGGAACGAAGGAGGAAGAGGGAGGAGGAGAGGAAGAGGAGAAGAAGAAGGAGGTGGAGAAGCTGGAGAGGGAAAGGTAGGAAGAAATATCAGCCTTTGGTGATTTAGAAACAACTTATAAGTTAGAAGATTTTTCAGGCAGACCATAAAACTCCCAACCTAACTTTTTAATAATCTGCTATATTTCAATCCATCAATTATTTAAATATATCTTATCAGTCTTTAACAGCGGTTTTAAATCATTAATTTTAAAATGTAGCTAAAAATAGAAAGTAGTGTCTGTTTTGATTGTGTGGTTTATATACAAAATGAATTATTTCTTATGCCATTTAGCCAATTCGTGTTTGTTTCTAGCTAGAAATGTCCTGGTTCTGATGTGTTCTAGCTGGAAATGTGCTGATTCTGATGTGTATTAGCTAGAAATGTCCTGGTGCTGATGTGTTTTAAATAGAAATGTCCTGGTTCTGATGCATTTTAGCTACAAATATCTGGTTCTTAGCAGTTTCAACAAGAAATGTCCTGTTTCTGATAGGCTTTAGCTAGAAATGTCCAGATTCTGATGTGTTTTAGCTAGAAATGTCCAGATTCTGATGTGTTTTAGCTGGAAATGTGCTGATTCTGATATGTATTAGCTAGAAATGTTCTGTTGCCGATGTGTTTTAGCTAAAAATGTCCTGACTATTGTATGTTTTAGCCAGAAATGTGCTGTTTCTTATGTGTCTTAGCTAGAAATGTCCTGGTTCTGATGTGTTCTAGCTGGAAATGTGCTGGTTCTGATGTGTATTAGCTAGAAATGTCTTGGTGCCGATGTGTATTAGCTGAACATGTCCCTGATTATTGCATGTTTTAACTAAAAATATCTTGTTCTGATGTGTTTTAGCTAGAAATGTCTGGGTTCTGAATTGTTTTAGCTAGAAATATCTTGGTTATGTGTTTTGGCCAGGAATGTTTTAGTTCTTATGTGTTTTAGCTAGAAATGTCCAGGTTTTGAAGTGTTTTAGCTAGAAATATCTTGGTCCTTATGTGTTTTAGCTAGAATTGTCCTGATTGTTCCTTGGCTTACCTAAAAATGTTTTGGTTATTATATGTTGTCCTGGTTCTTTTCTCTAGAAATGTCACCGTTATTGTGACTAAGCAAGAACTGCCCTGATTTTTGTGATTTAGCTAGAAACATCCTGGCTCTTTTTTAGTTTAAGCCTCTAAGCCCAATTTGTCAAATTTGTATTTTGAATGCAAATACAGTTGATGTGTCTTTGGACCTGCAGGGAGCGGAGCGAGGAGATGAGGAAGAACGAGGCGGAGCTGCTGGAGGAGAAAGAGAAGGTGGAGCGAGAGCTGGAGGCACTGAGGCAGCAGGAGGTGGACGGAGAGAAGGCGAAGGAGAAGGAGAGAGAGAGGGAGGAGAAAGAGGAGGAGCTGCGGGAGCTTCTCCGGAAGATGAAGAGAGTGCAGGAGGAGGAGAGGAAAGCGAAGGAAGGGGAGACGCAGGAGGTGACACCGCAGGGGACGGAGGGAGAGAAAGAGAAAGAAGGAGAGGGGGAGGTGGAGGGAGAGAAGGAGAAAGAAGGAGAGGGGGAGGCAGAGGGAGAGAAGGAGAAAGAAGGAGAGGCGGAGGCGGAGGGAGAGAAGGAGAAAGGCGGAGAGATGAAAGAGCCGCAGCAGAAGAGAGAGATGGAGAAAGCGAGCGATGAGAGGACGAGGCAGTTCGAGAGAGAGAGATACACGGAGGAAGACAGAGAGCGCGGAGAGGGCGAGGAAGAGGAGGACGAAGAGGAAGAAGGAAATGATGGTGATGAAGATGAGGAAGATGAAGGAGAGGTAACGTTCTGGACTAGAGTTTCAGTACAAAATCAAATTTGCAGAATTACATTCCACAAATGTTGCATGTTAATGCAATACAATTACAGCTTGTTAACACAACACAGATGCAGTTCTTTACTGCAATAAATACAGCAGATTAAAGCAATACAAATGTGGCTTAACACAATACAGATGCAACTACATGAATGCAACTTAACCCAATACAATTGTGATAAATGTCTATAATGCAATACATACTCCTTATTAATGCAATAAAAATGCAACCGCACCTGTATTGCGTTAAGAAGTTGCATTTGAATTGCATCCTGTGTATAAATAATTGTTTTGTTTTCTAGTGTTGTATTGTAGGCCTGTTATAAATTTCACAAACATAAAGTGACAAAAGAAGTGCAATACAGATGCAACTGCACACACGCAGCTTGTTAATGCAATACAGTTGCAACTTCTCAATAATTAGTATGATATTAAGGTAGCTTGTTAATGCAATACAATTGCAGCTTCTTAACACAGTACAATTGCAACTCTTTTGTGCAAAAAATACAGTTTATTAATGCAATACAAATGAGGCAACTGCACTAGTGCAGCTTGTTAATGCAATACAATTGCAACTGCAAAAATGCAACTTCTTAATACAATTGCAACTCCTTAATGCAATAAATACAGTCTATTAATGCAACACAAATGTGAGTTCTTAATGCAATACAAATACAACTTCTTAACACAATACGATTGCAACTCATTAAAGCAATACAGTTTAATAATGCAATACAAATGCAACTTCCTAATGCAATACAGATGCAACTGCACACATGCAGCTTGTTAATGCAATACAAATGCAACGTCTTAATGCAAATGCAACTGCACAAATGCAGCTTCTTAATACAAATGCAACTCCTTAATGCAATACAATTGCAACTCCTTAATGCAATAAACACAGCTTATTAATGCAATACACATGCAACTGCACACATGCAACGTGTTAAAACAATACAGTTGCAACTCTTTAATAATAAATATGTAATTAAGATAGCTTGTAAATGCAATACAGTTACAACTTCTTAACACAATTGCAATTCCTTAATGCAATAAATACAGCTTATTATTGCAATGCAAATCTGACTTTTTAATGCAATGCAGATACAACCAACCGCACAATTGCAATTTCTTAGTACAATTGCAACTCCTTCATGCAAAAATACAGTTTATTAATGTAATACAAATGCAACTTTTTAATGCAATACAGATGCAGCTGTATGAATGCAACTTGTTAACCCAATACAATTGCAAGTCTATAATGTAATAAGTACTCTTTATTAATGCAATAAAAATGCAAATGCACCTGTATAGTGTTAAGATGCAACTGCACAAATGCAACTTGTTAACACAATACAGTTGCAACTTCTTAATACAATAAATATAGCATATTAAAGCAATACAAATACATCTTAACACAGTACAGATGCAATTGCACAAATGCAACTTGTTTACAAAACACACTTCTAAGTCCTTAACGCTTATTATTAAGTACGGCTTATTAATGCAATAAAAATGCCACATCTTAATGCAATAAAGATGCAACTGCACAAATGCATCTTGTTCACACAATACTAAGGCAACTCCTCAATGCATAAATACAGCTTGTAAAAGCAATGTGTGTAAATGCAATAAATACGCTGCCCCTGAAAACAGGCACAGATAATCTACATAAAGGAAATTTATTTGAATGCGTTGCATTAATATTATTCTCTTATTCTCTTAATATTCTTCTCTTAGAGACATAAGAGTAGTGCAGAATACAGTAACAGAATTCCTACTAAGTCAGTAATGTACAGGAAACAGATTACACATTATTGTTGATTTTCTTTGTAACAAAACTTCTGCACCTAAAAAAAACATTAAAATAAATATTAAAATAAAATAAATACAAAGGACAAAATAACCAGATTACATATTATTGTGTTTTTAAGATTCTGTTTCTTCTGTTTATAATTATTTATTGTTTTATAGTGTTGTATTATTGGCATATTATTGCTTTGACAAACACACAGAGACGATTTGAAGTGTTTATTGATGTAGTTTATTGATGTTTTAAATGAAAAACACACATTCTGGTTCTTCACTCTCTCCTTTTCAACACCAGAGTCTTTTCCAGAAGCTCATCTTCTCTCTGCTCTCGTCTTTCGAGGCCTCCTTTCTCCTTCTCTCCTCTGCCTTCTTTTGCTTTTCGAGCTCTTTCGACTTCTTCTTCTGGATCTTCTTCCATTCTTGTCTTTCCTCCTTGCTCATGTTCTCGCTCGGGATTTGGATCACGCGTTTCTGCAGCTCCTGCATCAGCCTGTGTTTCCGAATGACCACCAGAGGAACCGCTGAGAGGATCCTGTCCTCGCTCTCCTTAATCGCATCTAACTGATCCCTCATTGTCTCCCGCTCGCGCTCCAGCTCCTCCATCTTCTGCTTCATCATGGCCTTGTACCTGACGTTCACCTCCAGGTTTTTGGAGCGGAGCTCGTCCGACATCTTCCAGATGTTCTCCACCTTCTTCTTTTCCGCTTTCCACTTCTTTGTCGTCTTCTCAATCACTTCGTCTTTCATCATCAGCTCATCCTGTAGCTGCACATTGGCCTTCTGGGGCTTCTGGAGCTGCTTCATCGGAGCTTCTGTACGTTCTTTGTCCAGCGCATCAGCAACGTTTCTCATCTTTTCTATCCACTCTTTGCTGATGATTTTTTGGGCTCCTCCCTCCATCCCTCTGTCTTTCTCCGGAGCCTCTCCGTGCTTGACCCTCTCGACTGTCTCTCTGGACGCTTCCTCCATCTTTCTGGCTTGGTCCAACTGCCAGTCCTTTCTCTTCAGGTCAACACTGAGTTTCTTTACCTTTGACAACAGGCGCACCTCCTTGGCCATCCACCAGCCTCGTTCCAGCTTCGTAATTCTTTCTGCCCGCTCTCTTTCTTTCCGTCTGTCCGTCCTCTCGGTCACCAGCAGCTGGTTCATGTACATCAGGTGATCCTGAAGCCTCTTCCACGCCGCCTGGATTCCGTCTTCGTGAAGACGAGAAATCTTTCGATCCAAGAACTCTATGTCGGTTCTTACGTCCTCCATATAATCACTTTCCATGGTTATTTTTCACGCTTCTAGTCGGGACTCTGCGATAAAAAGGTGGCAAAGTTATTTTGAAGAAATAAAACATGCGATATTTACCGTAACAGGACGAGAGGCGTCGACCTTTCACTGCTCTGCGAAGTTCAGTAGTGGAGAACTGATCTCCTGCGGGCTGATATTTATAGGTTTTTCCCCCCAACGTGACGTCACAGAGGGCCATTGTGACGTCACTCGAGTGTCGAGTGACGTGTTAAATATGTCCTAACCGATCATTCAGCAGCGAACCCCGACATTTCAATGCCTGCAGTTTCCTATGGACGGTGTTCCGATGACGTCACAGTCGCGCTGCCGCCATATTGGACAGCCCCTTGCGGTTCATTCAGCAGAGCTCCGGCTGTTTGTAGTGAGACAAAAAAGCCATGAGCGACAAGGCGAAGGCAGTAAAACACGTTTATTAAACACGGTTTAAATGATTAAAGCACGTTAATCGGTGTGTTTGAGTCGCTGACTTGATTTCACTCGATTTGTGGTCGTGTTGATGAGAAACGGCTGAGATTCCCCGCCGCGTTATTGTGTCGCTTCCCAAACCGCTTACTAGTTCACTAAGTAGGGTACAGAAATGGCGCGTATACCATTAGAAGTGCACTCATTAGGGTGGTAGGTGAAGTGCGGGAGTGTGTGGTTTGGGACGCGGCGCTAGATCAGCCGGTGAGACGCGATCAGCAGCTGTAATGGCTGATTAGCTTCGCTGCGCTGCTCGTTAGCTGCTCAGTTAACATCGCCAGAGAAAGTCTGAGGTAATTCGGTAATAAAGAACCATTTACTGAGGTAAATTAGTGCATTTATTGAGGTAAATTGATGAGTTTATTGATTTGAGCTGATGTTGGCTTCGTATTCGCCAACTTTGGAAATTCATTCTAGATTTTTAAGGTGGCTCAGTGTAGATGCAGCACCATTTAAGGTGGAACGGAGAATTCAAATGAGAAGCTGGCCAGTAAGAAACTAATTTGAGCTTGAATTATATAAATTAGTTTATTATTTAAGAGCTTTGGTAGCCACTTTTACTAGTTTTTGTAAAATATCACACTGAAATGCTGTAAACTCTGGAGAAGTGCAGGCTCTCAGTCGCGCTGCCGCCATTTTGAACGGCATCTTCAAGTTCATTCTCCATCTTTAAGCAAAAGTCTGAGGTAATTTGTTGATGAAGGATCATTTACTGAGGTAAATTGGTGCATTTATGAAGGAAAATTGATTAATTTATTGACTTACGCTTATGTTGGCTTCGTATTTGCCAAATTTCGATACGTTTAAGGCGTCTCAGTGTAACTGCAGCCCCATTTAAGGTGGAACGGAAAATTCCAGTGAGAAGCTGATGAGTAAGAAACTAATTTGAGCTTGATATTTATGTACGAGTTTACTGTTTAAGAGCTTTGGTAGCCACTTTTATGAGTTTTTTATAAAATTTTTTATAACACACTGAAATGTGTTGGGGGCCATTCTCCATTTGGAGGGGAAACCGTGCAACAAAGGTTTCAGGGCTTAAAAAGACGCTTAAAATATCAGGCACAGCTCCAAAAGTCAGTCTGTACATTTACACAGGTGACCTAAGACTAAATAACACTTTTCCCTCATGATTTCTCTGATTTTTCTCTTTTTATCCTGTTTCATAGTCGCTCTGCATCTGTTGAACAGCTGGTCACTAAACCAGTTTTCAACCATTTTTAATGTAAAACAATATTTTTAAGAGGTTTAACTGAGGAATTTGTGTAAAAAAAGTTTCATGTTTACTTTTTACATCATTAACTTTTATACTACATTTAAAAAAAAAAATGTATTTTATTTAAAAAAAGTTCATTTGTCAGAGAGATTTGTGGTTCGGGACGCGGCGCTAGATCAGCCTGTAATAGAGCAGCTGTAATGGCTGATTAGCTTCGCTGTGCTGCTTGTTAGCTGCTCAGTTAACATCTCCAAGAGAAAGTCTGAGGTAATTCTTTGATGAAGGATCATTTACTGAGGTAAATTGACATTAGGTTCCAAAATCCGTTCTAGGTTTAAGGTGCCTCAGTGTACTGCAGCACCATTTAAGGTGGAACGGAAATTTCTAATGAGAAGCTGGCGAGCAAGAAACTGCGTTTGATCGTCTCTCAAACCCAGAACACATCAGAACACATACACTCATGTGCAAAAGCCCCTGGCCAAATGAGGTTTTGTTGATTTTCTTTCGAACAGAACTTCTGCGCATAAAAAAAAACAGTTAAATAGTCAATAAAAGAAAATAAATACAGAAATTAACCAATAATTTCTGCAGAAAAATGTCATGTTTAAGTGTGCTCCCATGTTCTCTATGATGTGTTCACTTATTTTCACTTAGAAAATCAACGAAGCTCGTCATTCATGGTGAGTGTTCAAACTCTGCATCCAGCAGTTCAGTAATGAGGATGTGTTTGTGTTTTACAGGAGTTGCTGGAGATCGAAGCTCAGCTGAGGAGAGTCGCTGCAGAGCTGAGGGAACTGCGCCGGGGTTAAACACACACACACACATAAGACACAAGCCATAACACACAAACATGCATATATACACACACACAGCTCCTCGCTGCAGTCAGGGCCGTTTCGAGCTATAAGTGATACGTGTTTGGTTAGAGCCTCCGAGCCACCAGGGGGCGCCTACGAGCATGAAGTATCTATTTAATCTAGTTTATATATGATTTATTTTGTTATATATATAAATATTAGGGCTGTCAATTACATTAGTGCAGTTAATCACAGTGAATCACATTTTTCTCCCATTTATAAAGCAGAACATTTTGTTACAGCTACATTACGGGACAAAACAAGCAGAATATATTCATTACAATTAATAATTCAACTTAAAGTTCAACATAAAGTCTTTCAAACGCAGGCTGAACCTGGAAATAGAGCGAATGCAGCTCACCGACGTCCAGTGAGAGCAGCAGTGGCTGCACGTTCCAACCAGTGAGTGTTTACAGATGAATCTACTGAACTGGTTTAAAGTCAGAGCTGAAACACATTTGGGATTTTAACTGAACTTGGACTTTAGACTAAAATCCTTTTGCTCTAAACCTTAATTATATTTATTTTATTGAAACTAATATTTGAACATTTCATTTTATTACTACCAAAACAATCGTAACTCTACCCAAACTTTACCAAATGTTTCAGTAGTGACTGTTTCGGTAGTGACGATTTTAGCTCAAAAATGCAAACCAGTACAAGACTAGCAGCTTTGAACAGCTGTACACACGTAAAATCATCATATTTTTCATTAAAACGCTAAACGCTTGATTGCAGAAAATATGTCAATTCTTAACGTTTCACGCTGGTTTTTAGACTTTGGGACACATTTACTTTAAAACAATGGGATCTAACTGTTCCCCATGTCTCCATGTTTCGGTGGTGACATGAAAACGTGCGACAGCAATTTTTATTTTTTAAATCTCAAAAAATCTAAAAATTTCAGCTTCACTTTAAAAGGAAAAACAAGATTAAAAACATGTTGTTTAAACCATCTCAATCGTCAGGATTATCAGGACAGACTCAATAGAAAGTATTTATTTAGAAATAAATGGTGATTGTACCGCGACCCTATCTGGACTTAGTGGTTAATGATGATGATGATGATGAGGATTGTATATTTAGCTTCATTAATGCCTTGAGTGTAAATAGATCATAACATAATATTTGCAGATATCTCAGCTCTGAATCCTTCATTGTTTAATAAATAGCATTTTCACTGTGTGAGCGCAGTTTGAATGAATACAGTAGAATGATCTGTATGCAGTCAGTGGTTCAGCTCCTCTGTGATTGTAGCCTCTCGCTCTCGTTCATACAGCTCGTGGGTTCTTGTTATGGTGGAGGGGAACTGGAGCTCCGCCAAGCTGCTGCTTTTGTTAGTTTGCTGCTTGTTGATTTATCCAAGCGCTATCCAGCATAGTCCGAGGAAGGCACCCTTCGGTGATAACGTCACTGATATTAGTGCATCAGTATTCTCGCCTTTCACATGACATCACACTGTATAGCCACTGCCATTTTCAGGACTGAATCAGGGAGCGACTGCGCTGTGCGATGCCTTTGATCAGCTGTGTTTTGTGAATGATTGACCTGCGAGACGTGACAGAAGCTGAGAGACGAGAGACAAACAGACCTTTAATTCAGTGTTTTCACTCCAGGTTTGGAGCCCCTGCACTGTATAGTTCAGTGTTTCTCTCTGCTGTTCACACCTCGTTCAGCTCAAGAAGGGATTAATTAGCTAATAATATCAGGTATTTTAACCAGGAAACCACAGTTATGCAGTGCAGGGGTTTCAGGACTGGAGCTGAACTCTGAACTAACTGCACTTGCAAACTTACAGAATCACGTCTGTCGAAACACGACGTCATTTTCCGACCCACGACATTCAGTCTGATATTTAACGCTTATGTTTCTCCGTTCAAATGTCATTTAAATCAGAAACAGAGAGTAAAGTTATACCGGCTGTCTGCAGCTCCGTTAGGGGGACGACTGGTTATCTCTCGGCTGTTAACATCAGCTAAAGTTCTCTAAAGGCCAGCATTGTTCAGATCTGTGTTAATTAGCTGATGTCCAGAGTGTTTTCTCCTCTTTATGCAACACCATGGGATCTTTTACCCACCCAGATGTGAAGAGCCGGTGGGCCTCTGTGCTTTTAAATGCTTTGACAGACTCTCAGGTTGTGTATGAGAGAAATATATCATGAAAACACAAATTTGGTAGGTTTCTACCAGTTTATGTGGGACCAGTAGTTCAGGGGGAAGCTGTGTAAGTATCACAGCCTGTTTTATCGACTTTGTCGAGGTCACGTTTTTTCTCATCCAAAGTAAGGAGAGTAATTTTAGCCATCTTTCACCTCTAGTTATGTTCGTGTGGAGCAGCGAAGGCAGAAATTCGGTCCCAAATATGGCGGCCACAACAGAAAGATCACGTGACTGAAACCCTGGGTTGTGTTTGGCTTGTAAATGACGTTTCAGGCTCTATTACTTTATTGGTGACTTTTCACAAGAGAGCTGTCAATCGAATTTACCATTTAAAAGCTGTATTTGAACGTGAGGGCTACAATCACTGCAGCTGGGCTTCAGCCTGGAACCTGGACAGTACGAAGAGTTGAATAAGGTAACGACTTTGATTCCACAAACATTTATTAATTCCATCTATTACGTTCTACTCTGCTTTAAAATCTCGTCCACTGATTATTATGATGGGCTGTGGGCCGTGGGCGGGAGGCAGGACCCCGAAAAGTCCAGAAACGGCCCTGACGCCGGCAGTACAACCTCAACAAGTAGATAATATGGATGTTTACGATGACAAACTAAAGAAAACCAAACTCTCCTGTAAATATCAGCTCTGTATTTTAGATTAGAATAAATAATTGTCTTACCAGCTCATTCCAAATCATCAATAATCATTATTTTATGAATGAATCAGGTTATTAGCCTACTAATTAATACAATAATTCTTTGTATTTGTTTCTAAGTGGATTAATGGAGCTGTTGCTTAATCTAGGTGTCAGTAATCGATAGCAGTGGGTTGAGTAACGATGTTGCGTGTTGATTTTGGTAATAACGTGTTAATGTTTGTGTTAGATTTTCAGTGTAAACTCTGTCTGACGTGTGTGATAGTGTTTCTATATGACGCTGCGTGAGGTTCGAGTGCTTTCTGGCTCCAACACTGTTCGAACGCGGTCAGACTGTTAAGGGGGAACCGAGCAGGCGCCGTTTCAGAGGGGAGAATGTGTGTGTGTTGGGATATTAATGCAGTGTGATAAACAGGGTCCACACATACCTTTACAGGGTACTAGGTATGAATGTGTGTGTTAGGTTTGAAGAAGCTCAGTGATTTGATTCATTTACGATTCTTTAGGAAGTGATTCAGTGCATCAAGAAGTCTCAAAATTCTCCACGATTCAATTCGAGGAAAAGATTCGGGGCATCATACGTTTTCAAATAATACAATTTCTTTTGAGTTGATTCTCAATTAAATGATTCAGTGAATCATACAAACTCACATTTCACAATTTGGTTTCATTTGATTCTTTCGGGAGATGATTCTTTGCATTGTGAATTTTCACGTTTCATCTTTTTTTCATCATTCATTTCATTTGATTCAAGTAGATTCTTTAAAAATGATTCAGAGCATCATGAAATTTTACAGTCCACAGTTCAGTTTGTTTTGATTCTTTAGGAGACAATTCAGGGCATGATGAATTTTCAAATTTCACTGCAGTTCAGATTAATTTTTTTTGACTCTTTAGGTAACGATTCAGTGCATCAAGTTCTCCGCATTTCAAATTGATTTGATTCTCTAGGAAATGATTCAGTGCATCATGAATTCTTAAATTTCATCACAAGTCTGTTAGATTTGGTTCTTTAGGAAATGATTCGCTCTGTCATAAAATCTCAGATTTCCCTGCGATTTGATTTGATTTTATTCTTTTTCGATTATTTTTTTATTTAAACATGCATTGATTCTCATCATGATTTGATCTGATTTGATTCTTTTGGTACACAGCCAGTAAAAAGTTTAGACACCTTTACTCACAGTTGACTTTTTCAGTTGATGTCAGCTTTACACACTCTTGGCCGTTCTTAAGCAGCTTCATGAGCCTGTAGACCAAATGTACCTTCAGTAAGGTGAGTCTGAACCTTTGACTGGTAACGCATGTTTAAAAATACACTGAATACACAAATGTTTACTGTTTACATAATATAGACAATAAGAACAGCACACCAGGCAAAACAGACTCAGAATTCTACGTCCGGCCTCAAACTTTATTCATGTGAATATTATGGTAATTGATTCTAATGTTCTAAAATTGATGCAGTTGAATCACTTCTAGTGAAAACCTTTAGTGTGTAGAGTTTTACGGCGTTCGTTCCCTCAGAAACGGTCACTGCTGGTTCTCTCAGTACTAAACCAGCCACGGAGGATGAGGCAGTCTGTTCAGACAGCTCCTAAAGCCATCACACACACACACACACACACACACACACACACACACACACACACACACACACACACACTCTGCTGAGTAACGTGGTGAGCTGTGTCTCAGTGTTACAGATCTGTATCTCATCCATTCAGTTTTTGTATAGTTTCAAAATAAGTCAAATCAGCCAAGAAACAGCGCCCTCTTGTGGACAGCTTAAGAATGCACTTTCCCCCTATGGTCATTATTAGGACTGGGTATCGTTCGATTTTTCAATGCTGATACCAATACCGATACACAGACTTCAATACTGATTCCTGACGATACTTTTTCAGTGCGTAATTTAAATACAAAATAGTTTAGCTACGTGACGCATACTATTTTAAAATTTACTTATTCTATTCTGTTAGTCTAGATTTTGGAACAAGCATTCTGATTGGCTCTCTTGTTGCTAAAATTACAGGCAACCACTGGATACATTTGAATCTTGTTAATTTAAAGCATCATTTTTTAGTGCAGTATTGAAATTTGGTACAGAACAGTGCCAAATTTGAACAATTCAGCTGTAATCAAGTAATTTGTTCAAAATGAACTGTTTTTTGCTCGATGTTGCCTCAGGGCAACAAACCCATTTTTCTCACTTAAAAATGAGTGTGTATACATGCACTCAATAATCGGATCACTGCAGATTTCTGCTTTGCAGTCAGCCAATAAACTCACAGAAGAAGACGTGACGTAAACATAATGTAAAAATCAAACTTCATACCGCAGCTTTTTTTTTTAAACATTTCGCCGTTTTACCTGGAAATATGAACATACATCATCTAGAACATGAAGAATATTCACATCCTTTATTTCGTGTTTGGTTTCAGCGCCGCTCCAATGGTGTTTTGCTGCGTCTCACGACATCCACCGTCTGTTTTCACACATGCTCAGACTGTGTGAAGTCATTTTTTTATATTTATTGTCATACAAATAGTTTTTATGCTATCAGAAATTTGTTTGTTGCCTTGAGGCAACATTGTGCAGTAGTGAAATGGATTCAGCCAGTAGCAAGTGATGCAGCCACATTGCTTTTTTTTTAGTTTTT